CCCACCCCCATCCACCCCCAAGCCCGAGATGCAGAGATCTACTCACCGCCTCCACCGCCGAGCAGGGAACTGTTGGCTACGAGAGAGAGAAAGAGAAGCAGGTTAGTAGGCCAGTGGCCAGAGCGGACAGCTGTGTGGGACTGGGGGACAAGGGGGGGGCTCAGTGGGTCCCTGGAGCAGCAGGCCCAGGACCCAGTTCTTAGATTTAGTCACAGGGGCTCCCAGGCTCCGAGCTGGGGCAGTAGAGAAGAGCCCCTTCCTACGGGCCTGAGGTTTTGGGGGTTTTTGGTCGGTCGTGGGCCTGAACTCTGGGCCTGAGGCACTGTCCCTCAGCTCTTCAGCTCAAGGCTAGCACTCTACCACTTGAGCCACAGCGCCACTTCCAGTTTTCTGGTGCTTAATTGGAGATAAGAATCTCACAGCCTTTCCCTGCTTGTCTGGCTTTGAACCATGATCCTCAGATCTCAGCCTCCTGAGTAGCTAGGATTATAGGTGTGAGCCACCAGTGCCTGGCAAGGGTCTGAGGTTTGTAGGGTGCAGGGGCACAGGGGAGTCCCGAGGGCCGCCCGCTCCCCGAAGCAGCTTTGCGTGGGGTCAGATGTCAGGTGTTGTGTTCCCCACATCCTTCTCCCCACTTTTACCCCATAGCATCTTTTGTGTTGTTATCAGTGATGGCGTTTGAACTCAGGGCCTGATCACTGTTCCTGAGCTTTTGTGCTCAAGGCTCTACCACTTCGAGCCACAGCTTCACTTCCCGTTTCCTACGTTAATTGAAGATGAGTCTCACAGGGACTTTTCAGTGTGGGCTGGCTTTGAACCGTGATCCTCAGATCTCAGGCTCCTGATTAGCTAGGATGACAGGCGTGAGCCACCAGCACAAGGCAGCCTGGAGCCCTCTAAGGCCCACCGCTGCTGGCCTGGTCAAAGATGTGGGGAGCACAGGGACGCCTGAATCCCACCTCCCGGTGCTCACAGGCTGCCAGGGGCACAGACAGACATAAACCAACCAGAAAACAACTAGAGAGCAGGTATGGGAAGCACTGCCCAGAATGAGCAGATGTCAGGTGACCACTGTGTCCAACAGGTGGGTGACTGGGCCGTGCCTCAGTTTCCCCACATGTAAAAAGGACAGAGCCGCCCCATCCCACAGGGTGGGTATGAAGGTCAAGGGAGAGGGTCCTCAGAGATGGGCCTGGAGGCAGGAGGAGACCCCGCATCCTGCCTGGCTGGAGGTGGTCATTAGGAGGAGGCCTGCTGGCCTGGGACGGCCCCTCGCGGAGGGGCCCTGTCCATCGTGATCTGCCCACCTGTCCATGTGGCTGACATGTAGTCAACACCAAGCTGGCAGCCCCTCCTCACGGATGCCTGTCAAAGTCCCCCTGGTCAGCCCGGGTTCCCTTCTGCCCAAGCCTGCGCCCATAAGAGATGGGAGGGTCGGGCGCCGGTGGCTCACGCCTGCCATCCTAGCTACCCAGGAGGCTGAGATCAGAGGATCACGGTTCTAAGCCAGCAGGAAAGTCCAAGAGACTCTCATCTCCAATTAACCACCAGAAAACCGGAAGTGGCGCTGTGGCTCAAGTAGTAGAGTGCTAGCCTACAGCGCCCAGGCCCCGAGTTCAAGCCCCACAACCGACACACACACACACACACACACACACACACACACACAAAGGTGGGAGAAGCGCAGGTGAGGTAGAGGGGTTCCCGGCTCACATGCTGCCCAGGACGTTTTGCCTGCGGCCCCCCCACCCCCAGAACCTTGTCCCCACCCTACTGGGCCACCAGGCTGCGGCCGGGGGCTTTGTGCGGAGGCTGTGGACGCCGCTAAGTGGTGTTGGGTGAGTCCGAGTGGTTGGTCTCCCAGACCTGCCAGCTCCTCGCTTGGGGAATAATTAATTCCACAGCCTGAAAACCCAGGGCTGCGAGTTGCCACGTTACTTGGGAGATTAATACAAGCAGCTAATTAAGATGGAGAGGCAAGGAGCGGCCGGGCGCTCCCAGAACAGGGTGGAGGCCGCGGGGAGACACGAGCCCAGAGAATGGGAACAGGCCACACGCGCGGGGGGTGGGGGCAGGCATGGGGGCTGGCTCGGGCAGAGCCGGCCCCACACCGGGTTTGGATGTTGCCTTTGCCCCAGGAACCTCCATTTCCACTGACCTAGGGAAGCCGGCTTGCTGGGCACAAATGACCCCACTTATCACCAAGACAAAGCCACCGGGGTGGGGCTCCTGTCTCCATTGACAAAGAAGGAAACTGAGGCTCAGAGAGACAAGAGTCCCACCGTGGTGCTGGTGGCTCAAGCCTGTAACCCTTGCTATTCAGGATTCCGTGCCAGCCTGGGCCAAGAGAGTGTGAGACTCTTTCTCTTGCCAATTAACCAAAAAGCGAGAAGCTGTGCTCAAGTGGTAGAGCGCCAGCCTGGGGCAAAGCGGCTAAGGGATTGTGCTCTGGTCCTGAGTTCAAGCCCCATGACCCGGTCTGACTCCAAAGAAACACTCCTTCCATTGGAGAGATCTGAGCCTCCCCCCCACCCCCCATACCCTGCAGAACACAGAGGCCTCCTCTTGGACATGGCCTTGATCTCTGAGGTGGGCGGAAACTGGGGTGTCTCCAGCCCCCTGGCACACGACCGCACTGGCGGAAGCTGCCCTCTGCGGCCCCATCACCTCTCTCTTAATTAACACCGCCTGCAAACGAGCTGGCTCCCACCCAAGCAGGGCACCTTGCCAAATGGGTTGGCAGTGAGCTGTGACGGGGTGGGCGGGGCGGGGGCGCTGACTGGCTGCTCCGCGCGGCCCTCCTGGAAGGGGACTCGGCCTCTGCCCTCTGCGGCCCCATGAGGCCTGAACAAAGGACAGGGTCTCCCCGCAATCAACCAGACCTGTCAACAGAGGTCTTTCGTTTGTTGTCAGTCATGGGGCTTGAACTTGGGGCCTGGGCGCTCTCCCTGAGCTCTTTTACTCTACCACATGGAGCCACAGCTCCATTAGTGGTTTTCTGGGGGTTCCTTGGAGATAACAGTCTCTGGGACTTTCCTGCCTGGGCTGGCTTTGAACCGTGATCCTCAGATCTCAGCTTCTTGAATAGCTGGGATTACAGGTGTGCCTGGCTTTGTTTGTTTTTGAGACTGTTCTTGTTATGTTGTCCAGGCTGGCTTTGAACCAACTCCTGGGCACTTCAGTTTCCTATGTCTCAGCTTCCTATGTAGTTGGGGTTTCAGGGGTGCATCTGTCCCTTACACAGGGGAGGGCTGCACTGGGGGGCTGGGGCTCTGGGCTGCACCGGTGGGGGGCAGGCTCTGGGCTGGGCTGTGGACCACCCTGCCCCCGCCCCTATCTGCTCTTGGCCTTCGCCCGGGCTTGAGGGGCAGCCTCCCTGCCCGGCTCCACACCCCACTGGACTTGATGAGCTGGCTTCCAGCCCAACATGCCCCCGTGACCTTGGGTGCCCCCCATAATGCCAGTCACTGCTAAGTCCTCTACTGGGGCGGGGGGGGGGCCCGGAAGGGGGATCTCAGCCTCCCTTCTGCGCATTCTGCCTGTGATCTCTCCCCACCTCACCCCTCCGGCCCCCGGTCCCGCTCTGCCCTTGAGGGTGAGCCGGGCTCACTCCAGCCTGTGTCCCTGCTCCCGGCTGGGGCGCTGGCCACTGCCCAGGGAGAGGGACGGGGACAGTCCTGAGGCTTTGGCAATTGTCACCAAAGGTCAGAGGAGGCCCAGGGACAGCTGCAGCCCCAGCCCCGGCTGGCCACGCTCTACACAACCCGTTTTAATTGAGCACCCGCTGTGTGCAGGGCTGTATACGGGGGTACACAGGCCCTCGGGGCGCACAGTCCTGTGGGGGGGGAGATGGGGCAGAGGCGGAGCTGTTCCAGGGGTGCCTTTGCCTGGCTACCATTGTGGGGTGAGCAGGCCAAAGGCACCTGACAAGGAAGGGGGGCAGGCTGGGGGGCCAGCACTGGGGTCCCTTCCTGCTTCCGCCGGGCAGGCGATGGATGATGCGTCTGGCTCACGGAGCGGCTTCCCCGCTGGACCTGGGCCTCAGCACAATGGAATCCCTTTTACTATCTGAAGGAAAGATGGACTTCTAGGTCACAGAACGTGTTTTAGCATATCATACGAATCTATGTGACTTTATGCCAACAAAGCTATAAGGGAAGACGTGGAGCGCCGCTGAGCTGGGCGGGTGGAGCTCAGGCGCGGCTGGTTCTGGCTGGGAGGCGCTGGGATGGCTCGGAACAATTGTCCTCACTTCTTTCTTCCCCCCAAGCTTCCCGATTCAAACCCTCCCAGGGCTGGGCTGGGGGCCCTGGTAGAGCATTCCCCCTAAATATTCCCAACGGGGACCCCAGGAGCCTCCGTGAGCCCCAGTGGGACAGGAGGTCCCCTCTACTCTCAGAATGGCCGCTCGAGCCAGCTCCCCACCCTCATGGACCCACAAACACATCCCCCCCATCTCCCCAGCCTTCCAGTGGCGGGGCCCAGCTGCCCTGGCTCCTCAGGGACAGACAGAGGCTGGCCGAGGGCTCCCCAGGGGGACAGTGCGGAGAGGACAGGCAGCCGCCAGTGACCCAAGGAAAGCGCTGAGCAGCTGCCTGGGCTGGGGGAGGCGGCGCGTGCGCACAGCCCCGCCCCGCTGCGTGTCCCCTCACCCCTGCCTGCGGCTCTCCCTCCTCACCCTGTCCCCACACCTGGAGCAGCAGGGCGCTGAGGGGGGGTCGGGCCAGATTGGGGGGGAGGAACGGGCCTTGGTGCTCAGCCTCCTGTGAGCCAGACCTCAGCTTTGGCAAAGATGTATCCCACCCCTACCGTGTGCCGGGCTCTGGGATACAGATGGGCGGAGCCCTCTGGCGGAGAGCTCTTGAGACAGTCAAAGGCAGCAGCAGGAGAAGCAACTTGAACCAGAAGCCCTGGGAGTGCCAGAGGTTGTGAAGGAAATCAAAGGAAGAGAGCGGAGAGGGAGAGGCAGGAGGGAGCTGTCTCCAAGGGCTAGCCTAGGACCGGCTGTATGCAGGAGGCAGCCTGGAGGAGCAGTGCAGGTCAGGGGAAGGCCATGCAAAGGCCCTGGGGCAGGAA